ACCAATCAAATTGTTTATCTCTGCTTACCATAAGCGGAACGGACAGACAGACAAACAGACAGACGGACGAACCCATTTTAATAGTTCCCTGCTTTCTTCGAAAGGCGGGGGACAATCAAAGTAGGAGAGTTATTGTTTTCCAAAGTCTAGACCAATCAAATTGCGTATCGCTCTGCTTACCCTGAGCAGAAAATGCTCATTATCAAACTTAGTCAAGGTATTACTGTAATGAAACTATACACCAAGTTTCATCAATCTCACTTAATTAGAACTAAAGTTATCGTGTCCCAAAGCATCAACCAATCAAATTGCTTATCTCTGCTTACCCTAAGCGGAAAATGCTCATCTTCGAACTCCATCAAGGCATTGACCTAATCAACACATACACCAAGTTTGAACATTCTAGCTCAATTAGGAAGAGAGTTATCGTGCCCCAAAGTATCAACCAATCAAATTGCTTATCTCTGCTTACCCTAAGCGGAAAATGCTCATCTTCGAACTCCATCAAGGCATTGACCTAATAAACACATACACCAAGTTTGAACATTCTAGCTCAATTAAAAGTTATCGTGTCCCAAAGCATCAACCAATCAAATTGCTTATCTCTGCTTACCCTAAGCGAAAAATGCTCATCTTCGAACTCCATCAAGGCATTGACCTAATCAACACATACACCAAGTTTGAACATTCTAGCCCAATTAGGAAGAGAGATATCGTGTCCCAAAGCATCAACCAATCAAATTGCTTATCTCTGCTTACCCTAAGCGGAAAATGCTCATCTTCGAACTCCATCAAGGCATTGACCTAATAAACACATACACCAAGTTTGAACATTCTAGCTCAATTAGGAAGAGAGTTATTGTGTCCCAAAAAGTGTGACGGACAGACAGACGGACAGACAGACAGACGGACGAACCCATTTTAATAGTCCCCTGCTTTCTTCGAAAGGCGGGGGACAATGAAGAACGGGCATACGCCATACAGTGTGCTATGAGGGAAATTTTGCCCGGACAGCGGCACTACGGCCTACTCTTATATCAAATTCCAACTGCCAAGGGATCTTTTACGTGCACGCCAATGTGTACACGGGACCTCAGTTTTTTGTCCCATCCGAACGACTAGACAGCTTTCCTTGTCAGCCCCTCCGCCCTGCATCACTGACAAGGGAGAACCACGCCGGAAAATCTGGATGAACTTTCTCGGCCAATGCAGGGATCGAACACCCGACCTCCAGGCTAGCGAGCTAGCGTCTTACCCCCCAAGCTAAAAACGCCATTTTTCGTACAATCAGGGGCCATAATTCAGGAAGTTACGATCCGATATGCGCGAATATCAAAAGCAACCAAGATCTTTGGGTTATAAACATGCATTTCAAGTTTCATCAAAATAGGATTAAAATTGTGACCTCTACAGGGTCCACAACATTGATATACCTTATTTTTACGCTATTTGACTACGAGCATAGCCATTTTGTCTGTCAGTTTTGGTTCGATTTTTATGAAATTCGAACCCAACCATCTTTAGGGTATAACGGTGATATATTCAAACGTTTTTTTTTAAAACGGATAAGACTTATGACCGCTAAAAACGCGATTTTTCGTACAATCAGGGGCCATAATTCAGGAAGTTACGATTCGATATGTACCAATATCAAAAAGAACCGAGATCTTTGGGTTATAAACTTACAATTCAAGTTCCATCAAAATCAGAAGAAAATTGTGACCTCTAGAGGGGCCACGACCTTGATATACCATATTTTTGCGCTATTTGAGAACGAGGGGCGGCCATTTTGTCTGTCAGTTTTGGGCTGATTTTCATAAAAATCGAACTCAGCCGTCCTTAGGGTATAACGGTGATATACTAAATGTTTTTTTTAAATCGGATAAAAATTTTGACCTCTTTAGGGTCCACAAGCAAAAAAATGCCATTTTTCGTACAATCAGGGGCCATAATTTAGGAAGTTACGGTCTGATATGTGCAAATATTGAAAGGAACTGAGATCTTTAGGTTATAATCTTACATTTCAAGATAAAAATTGTGACCTCTATAGGGTCCCACAACCTTGATATACCATATTTTTTACGCTATTTGAGAACGATGGGCGGCCATTTTGTCAGTCAGTTTTGGTCCGATTTTCACGAAATTTGAACTCAACCATCCTTAGGGTGTAGCGGTGATATACTAAAACGTATTTTTAAATCGGATAAAAACTATGACCTCTATAGGCAACCACAAGCTAAAAACGTGCTTTTTCGTACAATCACGGGCCATAATTCAGGAAGTTATGGTCCAATATGCGTGAATATCGAAAGGAACCAAGATCTTTGTGTTATAAACTTATATTTCCAGTTTCAACAAAATCGGGTAAAAATTGTGACCTCTATTGGGTCCACAACCTTGATATACCATATTTTTACGCTATTTGAGAACGAACGGCGGCCATTTTGTCTGACAGTTTTGGTTTGATTTTCACAAATTCGAGCTCAGTCGTCCTTGGGGTGTAACGTTAATATAATAATACGGTTTTTTAAATCGGATAAAAATTATGACCTCTATAGGGTCCACAAGCTAAAAACGTGATTTTTCGTACAATCAGGGGCCATAATTCAGGAAGTTACGTTCCGATATCTTTGGGTTATAAGCATACATACAGGGCTGTCGGTAATTTTTCACAGTTGATTAGCAGCACTGCTAATCAAAAAGTCCAATTTTGCCAAATTTGATTAGCAAATTTAAAAATTGATTAGCAGTTTTTCAGTTTCAATGTTAATACCTAGATATTACTTTCATTCATAACAAATATGATTAGATTCCATTCTGACTATTCTTAGATTTTTTTAGCACTGCCACAAGTACTTGTGACAGTTTATAAATGTGATGTAGACATTTAGTTAGGTCTTATGTCTGAAGCCAATTCTTGACAGTGACTTCCGAAGCCCCACTCATTTTAATTGTTATTTTTTTGTTACGTTAGAAATCTTCGTTAGAAAACGATCTCGTCTGCTTTTTATCGTGTATTACTATTTTTGTTCAATCGGGCGCACCTCGATTAACTAGACACACGCGATATAAACAATAATATTTTACGGGAATTTTTACTTTGATTTATCATTTTACAATACGTTAACATGTATTTATTTTTTTTATATTTTATTTACAATACGTGCGATACACTGGAGTTATTTATTTCAAAATGAATATGATATAATTACTTGATGTCTCGCAACGTGAGTGCGACTACTTGATTCCCTATTTCCGGTTTAATCGTCCCTATTCATAGAGTTATGTCCCTGTGTTATATAGTATTGTGTCTGGGTAGTTCGAGAAGAAAATGTCACACGGAGAATTCAGTTTTGTTTATAAAATTTTATTCAACATTTTATACACGTTGAAAGTGTTGAGTAAGCCTTCTAGTCTTCAAAATGTGGATTATTCTTGTGACAATATCCAAAATGACAGGCACAGATTTTAATTTTTGGTTAGCAACGGACGAAATATGTATCGCAAATTGCGCTGCGATACTGGTTGTCGGCAGCCCTGCATACATATCAAGTTTAAACCAAATCGGATAAAAATTGTGACCTCTACAGTGTTCACAAGCTAAAAACGTGATTTTTCGTACAAACAGGGGCCATAATCCATGAAGTTACAGTCCGATACATACCAATATCGAAAGGAACTGCGATCTTAGGGTGATAAACCTATATTTCAAGTTTCGTTGAAATCGAATAAAAATTGTGACCTGTAGACTGTTCACAAACAATTGTGGACGGACGGACGGACAGGGGCGACGACAATATACGTCTACATGAAAATGTGGGCGTATAAAAATTATCATCCATTTTGGCAGAAAAAAATTGAAAGCCAGTGTGAGCCCTGGACCCTGTTTCACGAAATTTTAACTAGAGATAAAATCCAAATTTTAGTAGATAGGCCTACTTCAATTTTGATTGGCTAAGCACTAAAATCAATCTAATATTATCCAATCAAATTACTAAAATTTGGATTTTATCTTAGTTAAAATTTCGTGAAACAGGCCCCAGGCGTATAAAAATCGGATAAAAATTGTGACCTATAGAGAGTCCACCAATAAATTTTGGACGGACAGACTGACGGACGGGGGTGACGACAATATACGTCCATATGAAAATGTGGTCGTATATAAGTGAAATGTGGAGTGTAGCATTGAATTTGAAAGTTTAGTCAAAGTCAACAGAAATAAGTTTTCACAATAATTCAAGGTACATGTATGACATATAGTAGGCCTATACAAGTACAAGTTTCTTTAAAGATGGGTTCCCGGGTACAAACTGGGTGATTTAATGGTATATATGGCCTAAAAACATATTCAAACTAATTAATTTGTCATAATTATGCTTCAAATCCTTCTCAAACATTGTATATGCGAAAGAATGCCCTGCTATTAAAATTCGATCAAACCAGGTCATGTTTACGTCACGTCTTGGAAGTCAGAGGAGAATTCATTGCATACATAAGACGATGTTGTCTTTAATCGCTTACTATTTATTACAAATATCGAATCCTAATTAAATTCTCGGATTATCCACTACCCGTGTCTTTTTTCGTCATTTTTATCTCAGAAAGTGTTGTACGTCTAACTCTTCATAGCGTTCATCAACTTGTACATCAAGCGCTCAATGTTCGCGTGTGACCTTTGACATCACATGTGCAGAAATTTTTAATCGTCGGGCTGTTGATTATGGGAACCCTTACATTTTTGTCCTGTATATGCTCCATGAGTGTTTTTCGGGGAATCCAGTATTTTTCTAGTAAGATTGGATATCTCTACTTTCCATATATACCAAAATTGTCATACTTTTATTGGAAATAACCACCCGATAAATACTTTTCTGGGAACCCATCTTTAATAGTTACTTAGGGAAAGACTGTAATCCTCTTGGATCACCCCAAAGTTCCATACGTAAATATATCAGAAACAAATGCAAGAAAATAATAATAATAAAAAAAAGAAAACTCACTTTCCCAGTTGTGAGTTCCAGTTGACTGGAGATTGAGAATCGTGATGAAAACTTTGATTATTCATGTCTGTTGGACCAAGGGGGGAAGAACTTGAACTGCTAGAAAAACTGGAATGGTTCAGTTTTTGTAAAATATCTGTACGTATGCTTTCTTTCAGACAGGCAATTCCCGCAGCGGTTGGTGGTGGTATTTGTGGATACAATGACGGACATGCATATCCCAGTACACTGTGTATAACTCTCTGTGCTGGTTTTGTATTACTGGTAGGTAGTGACTGAAGAAGGTTCTGATTGTATTGTGCATGTGGTAGGGGACTCACATAGTTTGTATAAGCTCCTGCAGGTGAAGACTGATAAACGTTCTCGAAGTTTTGTCTACTACGTGTTACTTCTACAGGAAGATACATGTACATTCCTTTAATAATCAGTCTTGTAGTAAGTAAAGCAGATGTAAGAAATAAACACACTCCCCCTTCACTTTTACTAACTACATTCAATAAATAACGCTTCAAGTTCATTCAACATTCCTGGAATTAGTAGAAAAAGTATCATCAGCATCAATTCATTAAAATAAACCAGCGGCTGCCAGGCAGGATACACCCACATTTTCGAGAGATGGATAGAGAACAAGCTAAAACGAAAGTGATTTTTCCTACATTCAAAGGCCATAATTCAGGAAATTACAATTCGATATGCGCAAATAACGAAATGAACCGAGATCTTTGTGTTATAAACTTACATTTCAAGTTTCAACAAAATCCGATAAAAATTGTGACCTCTATAGGGTCCACAACCTTGATACACCATATTTTTACGCTATTTGAGAACGAACAGCGGCCATTTTGTCTGTCAATTTTGGGCCGATTTACACGAAATTCGAACTCAGCCGTCCTTAGGGTGTAACGGTGATATAATAATACGTTTTTTTAAATCGGATAAAAATTATGACCTCTATAGGGTCCACAAGCTAAAAATGCGATTTTTCGTATAATCAGGAGCCATAATTCAGGATGTTACGGTCCGATATGCGCGAATATCGAAAGGAACCGAGATCTTTGGGTTATAAACTTACATTTCAAGTTTCAACAAAATCGGATAAAAATTGTGACCTCTATAGGGTCCACAACCTTGATATACCGTATTTTTACGCTATTTGAGAATATACGTCCACATGAAAATGTGGGCGTATAAAAATCAGTTCAGTAGGCCCTACACTGACATTGGTATGCACGTAAAAGAACCCTTAACTTTAACAGTTGGAATTCAATATAAGAGTAGGCTATTGCGCCGCTGTGCGAGCAAAATTTCCCTCATGGATATCGGTGCAGAAAAGTATGACGTTAAACCCATTTCGTTCGATTTCATTTCCTATTGAAAACTAGTTCAGCTCTGAACATAGGTCCTATTACGCTCACCTTGTAGGACCTACTTTCAGCGTCCAGGAAACTCCCTATTGAATCCTTGTCGAGAAACTTTCGAACCCCAGTCAATTTTTCCGGGTAACTTTTCACTGCTAAACGGTCGTGTGTCAGACCGTGTGAAAAAGAATTGGAATCTTTGAAAAAATTTGATTGTAATTTGGCTAGGCAAAGCAATACATAACTAACAATTCTCAACTTTTCAAAGATACCAATTTTCCCCCCCCTGCTTTACATAACTTTCGTTTCGTCGTATATTTAGATTTTGATGGTTTCTGCCAAGCTGTTTAGCAGAAGAGGACATGTTTTTAACAGCATATTGTGTCGAGCATACCGACTCTAACAAGGTAAGCAAGGTCTTATTTTCTCACTACTGTCTGAACCATCGTAAATTTTAAACAGATTTCTTCGATTATGAACAAACTATTTGATTTTGGTTATTATAAACTTACCTGTGTGTTTGAAATTACCTCTGGTTAAATAAAATCCATTGTACAACTAAATATCCCAGCTGATAAAAAAGTTATCTCTTGTAAAATTGAACTTCTCACAAACTTTGACATCGAAATAAACAAAGATAGGTTGCCAGGCAACGAAACATACGCCCACAACAGCTAAATCGTCCGGGCAGTCAACAAGAGTTGTTGCATATTTTTACTTTTTTTGGCAATGAAACATTTATAATACACTAAAATCTGATTAAGAGCGACAACTCATGAAGTAATTATCAGAAAACCATTAGAATTTGTTTGTTTTTATAAAGTTCTGACCCATGTTAACGTTTTGTATACAAAATTATGGATTTAGCTATTCAAGACCTAAAAATTCATTGAAAATCAATATACTTGTTCGTCTCAAGATCTTAAACTATGTGTATCAATCTGAAGTCAATCGGATATTAACTTTGGCCTTTAGAGCGTCCAAAGTGATCAAGGGCCATAACTTTGGCAGTAATTATCGGAAATCATTGAAAATCAATAGGATTCTTTGTCTCATGACCTTAAACACTGTGTATAAATTTGAAGTCAATCAGATATAAACTTTGGCCTCTAGAGCGTCCACAAGATTTTTCAAAGTGATCAAGGGCCATAACTCTGGCAGTAATTATCGGAAATCGCTGAAAATCAATAGGATTCTTTGTCGCATGACCTTAAACACTGTATAAATTTGAAGTCAATCAGATATTAACTTTGGCCTCTAGAGCGTCCACAAGATTTTTTTGAAGTGATCAAGGGCCATAACTCTGGCAGTAATTATCGGAAATCGCTGAAAATCAATAGGATTCTTCGTCTCATGACCTTAAACACCGTGTATAAATTTAAAGTCAATCGGATATTAACTTTGGCCTATAGAGCGTCCACAAGATTTTTCAAAGTGATCAAGGGCCAGAACTCTGGCAGTAATAATCGTAAATCGCTGAAAATCAATAAGCTTCTTTGTCTCATGACCTTTTAATACTGTGTATAAATTTAAAGTCAATCGGATATTAACTTTGGCCTTTAGAGCGTCCACAAGATTTTTTGAAGTGATCAAGGGCCATAACTCTGGCAGTAATTATCAGAAATCGCTGAAAATCAATAGGATTCTTCGTCTCATGACCTTAAAAACTGTGTATAAATTTGAAGTCAATTAGATATTAACTTTGGCCTCTAGAGCGTCCACAAGATTTTTCAAAGTGATCAAGGGCCATAACTCTGGCAGTAATTATTGGAAATCGCTGAAAATCAACAGGCTTCTTCGTCTCAAGACCTTAAACACTGTGTATAATTTTAAACTCAATCAGATATTAACTTTGGCCTCTAGAGCGTCCACAAACAATTGTGGACGCCGGACCGATGGACGGACGGACGGACGGGGGCGACGACAATATACGACCACATTTCAATGTGGGCGTATAAAAATGGAAGCTAATTATGTTACTTTTCGGGACAGATCATTTTGTATAAGCGGGTCTCAGCAAGGCTTGTCTATCGTAACAGTGTTTGGCTCTTTTACGACAATTCAAATTTTGTGTATGAATAAGCTATTGCTCTCGGACCCAGTAATGAGTTTGGGCGTTTACAAACATAAATACATGTACGCCCGTAGTCCGTTATTTTGTTTCTGTCTTGTATTAATTATTTGGTTAGAGAGTTGGTTGTGATTATTTCTTTTGAACATAGGTGCAGAACAAAAAGAACGACATTCCTTTAATATTTCCTGTCAATTAACCATGGCAATCTGCTGTAGCCGGGGTAAATCCGTAAATGCCATGTATTTTACATATTTGGTATTAATTTTGCCGAGGCCATGGAATCATTGAATAGGTACATAACGTTATTATTTTTTTTTTTTATTATAAATACCAAAAATTATTATTAACAACAAATCATACCGCACATCGGTTTAATTATCGGGAGATAGATCTATGTCTTTCTATTTCTCAAATATTATTTCCGTCGTGCAAAAACTCTTCAGAATTTGGATCTTGGTAACACAATTAATTTCCAAAAATCTCGGCTTCATTTTGAAATTCACAGGGCAATGTATCCATACGATTGTACTCTCAGTTATTAACTACAGGCCTATATTAATCGCAAGTACAACTCCGTTTTGAAATCCACAGAGAATGGAATTTTCTGATGGCATTTCGTCGTAGATCGCAATCATGCCTCAGCCAATCAACGCTTTGATTCTATAGTATGCAACACAGATGCAGAGAAAATGGTTAAATTTAGCGCGAAACTTGCCCGAGTTTTTCCCACAGTCTGCATAATTAACATACAAGACCCAATAACACACGCAATCTGAGATACCTCTTTTGACAAGTGATTTTTTGTTTTAAATACATTTTTATAAAGACAATCAACGATGTTTAGACATCCCGAACTGTTCTTGTAAAGAATGTTTCGATTACAGTATCTGTCGAATAAGCCAAAAAAAAAAGTAATTTAATCCGGAATATTATTGACGTGAACAGTCGGAACGTGAATTAAATATGAAAACTATTGAGAAGTAATTGCCTTTTTTCATAGTTTTTGTGGTAATCCTAAAACTTTGAAAATGGACTAATAACCACAGTGCATTGGGATTAGATGCCGCATTATGAAATATTATCAATTAAAATTATGAAATAAAGCGTATTTATTTATAAATGTTGCAAGAGAGTTGCATATAATTGACAGGGATGTACTGATGTAGGGCCTAATATAATTTATTAAAATATATATAACATACAGGGTATTTACAATTATGGGGTGATGATGATGTGAAAATTTGTCAACCATTGCCTCCTTCAACATATTAAGATGGTTAAGCTCATCACGTGACATGTACAATGTTGTGATGAACTTAGTCGAAAATACAAGCAGAAACATTAACTTTTCAAGAGAGAACTTTTTTTTTCGTTGGGATATTCAAGGGTCGGAGTAATCACCGGAATTCATTTACAATCACCGGAATTCACTTCGAAAACCCCCGATTCCTCCCACAAAACTAAGTTATTTTGAATGCGTAATACATTATAATATAACGAATAACTATTTTGATCTCTCCACAGGCCAGATGAAGGCGTTGTAGGTGCATTTATTTGAAAGACTACCGGAATTCATTTCAAATATATATGCATCATGATTATGATAACGTAGGGCGCGCCGAATTACCCCAAAACTCCAAAACAACACCCAGTAACTCCAAAAATGTTGACTGTGGAAACACATAATAACAATTTAGTTGAGTTTAAGAAGCCTCACTGCTTTGGGCCCAAATCGGAGGTTCATGAGAGATAACTCGTGTATGTGATTTTTGTTGACAAGAAACTATGTATACTTTCGTTGCAATTCGTTGTAATGTATTGTAATTAGTGATTGATTACTAGTTTATTAAAACAGTAATTATATGCATGAAACATATTATGGTATATATATAGTGCAATAAACAATTCAATATCATAGCTATATTTATTTATTTATAATTACAAATTGTGTCGATTGTCACTTTCGGTCATCGACATCGTAACTTGTTTTGAAATAAATAAATGAAATCAATTTAGATAAGTATGGAAGGGTATCGCGCTGCCAATATTAAATAGTCTGCGACAATGTCGTTTCCATTGATTATATGTAAAAAGT